TATATATATATACTTCTTCAGCAAAAGGCATAAGAGAGTATATAAATAAAACTTAGCAAGATAACAAACACAGAAAAAAAAAATACAAAATTCAATTTATTCTTTGCACTCAAATCTTGGTTTTTTATCTTGTTAATTTGCAAGAGTTAAGAAAATGGTTAATTAGTGTGTAAACAAACCAAACCAAAAGTTTGTTGAGAATTAATGTACATACCAAATCACACGTTTCATTTCAAAGAATTTAAATTTTTTAAATAAATAAATTATTTTATTTAAATTTCTCACCTAAATATACTATAAACAAAAATTATTGATACATATATTGCATTTAATTTTTATATAAAAAATAGTACGTTCGTGCAAATTAAACGTTAAGCTTATCATTTACACAAATCTTTATTAGACATACGCTTTCTGTTTGTTGTTTCTTCTTTGATATAGAACATTCACAGCCAATATATTTTTTTTATTGGTATTTCTTTTTTGTTGCAGAAGCATCACCACTATTTATTTTTTGGGGCATTCTGAATAGTTAGGTATATAAATGGATCAGGTAATATATTTTAGTTTTATAAAGTCCAACTCTAATTTGATTTCAAAATACAAAGTTTAACTTAACTTATTTATATGTAATAAGCTTTTTCTTCATATATGTTTTACTTATTCAAAAATTTAAACTTAAAATCTATTTAAGATTTTGTTTTGAATTAAGCTTATAAATAGATCAATACGCATACTCATGTAAGTTGGTTAACAAGTTTTGAACATAAATAAGCTTGTGTGTTTTATAATAAACAAATTTTGATTCAAAACTTTAGACCAACTCTTTTGATGAACAAACTAGAAGGTTAACCTATTTTCATTTCTAACTAAATTAGGGTAGATTTAGACTCTATAGGATTTTTTGGTTTAGCTTTATTTTTTCAATATAAACATTTTATTTTAAATTAGATTTACTTCACAATTCCCTTTAACCAAAATCTCAATAAATTCATTCTCATTAGTGTGTCCTATTTTAATCTCTAAACCTAACTAATGTTGGGTTCCAAATTGAGATTTAATTCAAATTTTTACATGCTTCACAAACATTTGTCTCTTAACTAATCTTGATTAAATAAAGAAATACAAAAGAGTTGATTCAATTCTTGTATAGATTTTTCCTGGTTAAGTTTCAATTTTTAATATATAAACACTTTTTTTGGAGTTTAGATTTACCTTACAATTCCCTTTGCCCCAAACCTCAATAAATTCATGCTCTTTAGTTTGTTTATGGAAATAAAGAGAAAAGTATTTTAAAAAATATTTAAAAAAACTGAATAGAGATGTCAAATTGAACTGATTCATTCCAACATGACCTGTTTCTCTTTCAATTTATATATATATATATATATATATATATACATACAAAAAAGTATAAGAGAGAGAGAGAGAGAGAGAGAGAGAGAGAGAGAGAGAGAGAGAGAGAGAGAGAGAGAGAGAGAGAGAGAGAGAGAGAGAGTTGGATTGATTTATTAAAATTAATAAAAAAAATGAAAGTTAGATGATTCATAAGTTGATCTTTCAAATAAATAAATAAAAATATAAATCATCTAGACATAAACATAATGCCTCAATTACAAGAATATTGTCCTATTAAATTGTCTCAACACAAATCCTATTTAGAAACTACCATGACGGGTCAAATAAAAGTTTAATAGAATAGTAACTCCTTAAAACTTTTGAGAATTTTCTCTAACGAAATTCTTTTTACGAATTTTTAATTAGGTTATTAAACTAAAAAAATAATAAGGCTTCATCT